GTAAAATATAAAATATATGTATAATACACTAAAGTTTCTATAATCTATTTTATATATAATATAATATAATGTAATATAATCACAAATCATAGCTAAATTTCCAGAGACAGCTCTTCTAAAATTTTTATGATACCATAAAATATTTTATTCAGTTTGTTAGATGTATATTAGATTTCTCAAATAACTAAAATTAGAAAATTATCATTCATTTATTAAGATAAAAACTGATTTGATTGCTTCTTTTTAGAATGATTAGTCAGAAAATTCTTACGGAAGTTAAAAATAGACATTTTTCCCATTTTACAGAACAAAAGATGAAAATAAAATTAACAAAGTATTTAAGTACTTCTTTCATTTTAAAACACTGTTTTAAGATTTTAAACTATTTTTATGGTAGCTAATAAAACTGAGGTGGTAGCTGCACTTTTCTAAATGGCCAAAAATATAATATAGTTAAGGCCTGACCAGTGTGGCTCAGTTGTTTGGGCATTGTCCCACAAAGGGAAAGGTCACAGTTTGATTCCCTGTCGAAGCACGTGACTGAGTTACAGGTTTTGTCCCAGCTGGGACCTGTACTAAAGGCAATTAATCAATGTTTCTCTTACATCGATATTTCTTTCTCTCTCTCCCTCCTCTAAATAAATAAATACTTAAATATTATATATATACTTAAAAGAAAGAAACAGAAAATGCTAGCTTTTAAAAATTGCCAGTGATGTACTGTTCTACAATTACCATGATGCATGCATCTCATCTTGTAGGTCATGCCCTCTTTGAAGTTAGAACTGCCTCATTTTCTTTTTCCAAGAGAACTACAATATGTTTCATGCAGCCATTGTCAATTTTTGTTGCCAATTAAACATTTAGTTTCTAACTTGCTCATTTTTTTCAAATTTAGAAAATTCTCCTTCTATAAGCTTTTCACAAATTTCAAATAGGGAATATAATTATATTTCAAGAATGTAATCTAGTACATATTTAGCAAGGATGTGAAAGGAGAAGAGTAATTAGAGACATAATAGAGATCTAAGCCAATGAACTGAAATTGCCAGGCAATTGAAACCAAAGGACTGTACTAGGTTTCAGTAACTATGAAAATTCCTTCAGTGATCCGCTTCATTATAAAATTGTAGTTGTTAAACACTTAATTTGTTATTATCTTCACAATTTAATTTTTTCTGAAACTCAACCATATTTCAATAGGCCACAACAAGTCAACACTGGTTCAGTTTTTGAAATTGTTCTATTTGTAACACATGCTTTTATAAAACTATTGAGTGGCCTTTCTCTAAGTTCCAACACCAGAAACTCACTGCTATGCATCCTAGTACCTCTTATGAAAAAATTTTTGGCAACTTTATAGATGAAAGAAAATGCCAGGGAATTATAGTAAACTCATTTATTTTATCCTTTTTTTTATGGATCAAGGCCACATTGAAACAGATCATATAACAAAAATCTTAAGTATGCATTTTCTTTAACTTTATATTATACAGAATTCATCTTCTAAAAATTAAGTAATCTGTTGCATTTGCAATAGGCTGAAAAAAAAGAAAATGAACCAAAAGTTAATACATGCTAAAATTAAATTTTTAGCACATTTTATATTTCTATTTTCTTCAAATAAGCATACAAATAAAAATAGTTTTCATGAATTAGCTAGCAGAAAATCAGAATTAGAAAACACTCTAATATTCTACCAACACATTGAAAACAGGTACTTCGTGTTCATCTCTGCAAATTCATCCATCTCTGTGTACATACCACATAACATTTATTAGCAACCTAGGGAAAGCTATATTAACCAACTGTCCTTGGAATCACCAATATAATTTTAATACTTAATAAAATACCTGACAATTCTAATTACATTAAATATAAATACTGTTAAGAAAAACAACCCCGTTATGTTAATGTTAGATAAACCATTTCAGCTTCCTCCTGGAAAAACACGTAAAAATGAAAAAGCAATAAATTTCTATGGCAACAACTTAAAGTCTCAGATACTCTTAGTTGTAGCAGCAGCCACAGAAGCTACTACTTTCTTTAAAGCAATGGAACTAAACAAGGTATTGTTTTCCTCCATTTCATCTGGCACATCTAAAACCTCTTTTGCTTTGATGAATTGAAGGATGATTTGACTGGAAACAAGATATCTCAACTAAAGCAAATGAGAACTATAGTTATGTGAGTATTTTATGGGAAGACAAAACCAAAACAAGAAGCTAAGCACATCTAAATAATAGTTATGTGGTGAGGTCTTATGCAGTATGTATCATTCAAACAAAACTAATATAAACATATATAAAAGTTTATATACTTATGAAAATAAATAGAACTTCGTCTAAATAATGTATATTTTTCATATGAATTATTAGGTATCTTTTCTACATAAAATTTTAACAGGTATTATTACATATTAAAATATGTGATGATCCTAGTATTTTAGAATCATTATATAGATAATTTAGATTTATTGACATGAATTTCTATAATTCGTACATGTATATAGAACACTTATCTTTTTTCTTATCTGTTAAGTCTTCTTATATACTTTTGGAGAACATCTCTTCTAAATGCAGGAAAATTTTCTTTTCTTGAGAGACATTTTAGATATATAAAGGATCACCACTGCATACTCAATTAAGAAGGCAAAACTTGGGTTCTTAATTAGTTATAGTCTTTTATGAATATATATGAACATATTTCTGTATTTTAAAAGGTCATCAAGTAGGTATGTATGACTACTCTATTTGTAGAATGAGGCGTTAGAGTTTAAATCCAGTTTCACTATATAACGGGTATGATCTGAGTTATTGCCTTTTCTCCTTAAGCTTCAAAGTCCTCATTGGTATTCATGGAAACAGTAATATATTATTAAATTATTCCATGGTTGTGATAGTTAAATAATTATAAACACTTAGCCCATGCCTGGTACACGTTGACCACTCAAAAATCATGGAAGTTAATATTTGAACAAGTTTACCTCTTTGACCTTGTCTTCAATATTGTAATTTCTTTTTAATCAGTATGAAGGAAAGGTCTTGCCCCCAGTACACACCTTCTCAGAGAAGTTCTAATTTCCTGACTTAGACTAATCATACACCAGCTTTAAAAATTACTACCATGCCTCACGAAGTATCTTCTATTAAGTGTTACTTTCCACCAGAGACTTAGAACATCCGCCCATATTTTCTTTGCCTTAAGGTCATAATACTGTTGAATACATGATTCTTTCTCTCCCCCAACTTTTCCATCACAAATAAACCTGCCCATCATTCATCAGGAACCCAGTTGTACTTTATTCTCATAAAAGTGATTAAGGCCTTCACATGAATAATAAAGAAAGGAAGGAAGAACAACCCATAATGTCTGTAGGTTTCAACTTTACCACTATGAAATGTAGTCCACAAACAAAAGAATCAAGAGAGAAAATGATGAATGGCCTTAGGAATAGGCATGGTTTGTAATAAAGATTTTATTTTAAAAACATTAAAATAAATAATACATACTCCAGAACACCACTTGTATCGCTGTTCTGGGTAATTCCTTCTCTTTAGAACATGATTTCCAGAACACAAATCTTCTGTTCTGGGGACTTTGCTAGCTGATTCACTTTCATTAGCTGAGATTATATATATAATCTTAATCTGTGGTCTGCCATCTTTTAACAATTCTCAATGGTGAATATGTGGTGGAATACAAACTCCATCAACTTGTGTAGTTATGTTTGCTTTTTTGTCCCTTAACTGCTGATAAAAATACACTTTGGGGGATCCCAGGGGAATAGGACTGAAGCTAGAGTGACACTGGCTCAAAAATTTCAAGTAGTTCAATGCTTTTCTTGTTAACTACCAGGTCACAACCGGAAATCCTAATGATGGGATAGAAACCCTTCTTTTAGATATTGATTGATTTTTTCCATGAAGATGAGTGTTTTAACAGATTTCCATACGCAGTTACTGGGGCGGGGAGGGTGGGTGGGCCTTAATTAGTTTTACCGTTTTCAGCAGATGTTGAATTCCAAACGCCAGCAGCATCTCAAATGCCAGGCATTGAAGCTGTCTTTCACTGAAGACTGCTGACCATTGAAATCTCCACTCTGTTTAATGAGACCGATCTAGGCAGAGTCAATTCAATCAAATCTTTACTAACATCCTTAATACATCTGCAGTATGTGCAGCAGCGGCGGCCGGGGAAGCAGCAGGAGGGATTTCCAGTATTAATAAGGGGATTCACTGCCGCATAAGGAAAAAGGGGGGGGAGGGGGGGATGGAGGGCCAATTGGGGGAAGACCTTACTTAACCCACAGGAAAAGCTGGAAAAGTCCGGGCGGGGATGGAGGGGGAGGGGTGCTAGTGAAAGCTAAAAAGCAAAGTAAGAGGATTAGAGAAAGAGCCTTGAAATAGCTCTTGAAGGGATCCACATTCAACCGTCCCCCTCCCCTGCCCCTTCCACCGCACATTCAATTTACCAGTTGCAAATATGAAGCTGGAAAAAGGTAAGGACCCAGAGTTGAAAACATGATCACTTTAATACTGAAAAAATATGCCATTATAAAATCCTCGAATGGAATTAGTAAGTTTTACGTGCTTCCTCCGTTCTTTTTTTCCCTACTTTGTAAGTAAGAGTTACACCAGCACAGAATTGCTACCGTTTTAAGATCGCAGCCTAAGCACTAGAGTGACATTAATTGGTCATGCTTAACTGCCTCACAATCTTTCTTTTTGCTTTTAAATTAATTACACCAGATACTATAATAGAAATCATGGGTACTTATTTTACATTCAGATGGAAGGCCTTATTGGATATGTATAGAAAAATATTCCCCCTCCAAAAAAAAAAAAGTAAACATCACCATCAAAATAAAAGGATGAACCCAAAACAACCCATAAAACGTCTCTTAACAAAATACATTTTTAACTCATAAAATGGGCTGATGAGTAGTCATGCAAATGTCTTAAATAAAAACCTTAACATTTTTTTTTCACAGTAAACGTACTCTCTGAACTGCCTACCGATCACAAATAAAGGTGAAATGGCACTTCTGATTATACTGTATCTTGTTTATAGAAAGTTTGATACGCTGGGACTTATCAGGTAAGAGGGCGGGTGCTGTGAACGTGACGCTCTCTCCGGTCGCCGGGGAGGGCAGCGTCCCTGGAGCGCGTGGATTCCATGCGAGCCATGCAGCGCTTTTTGTTTTTCTCAGAAGTCAAAGTTATTTATTTACAATACATTCATGCCTTCGTGCAACTGCCCATCCCTGCGTAGCCAGCAGGGAACTATCACGCCCCCCCCCTCCTCGCGGGGCTAATCCACGGGGGAAAAATAGATATCTATCTCTCTATATAGATGTGGGTAAATGTGTATATGTATGGGACCACGACAGGCGTCCCCCACCAGCCCCTCCGCAGGGGGGGAAGGGCACTGTCAGTTCTTTGAGCAGGGCCCCTGCTGGGCTTTGTCAAAAGAGGCTCTCAGCACAGAGCGATTTGGCAGCGCTCTCGCAGCCACAGTCTGCTCTTTGTTTCCAGAAGGGAGCTACCGGGTCAGATCATCTCAGTTGAGCGAGTTCACAGTTATTTATTTATGTCCATCAAGCCTTGGGGCACACTGGAGTGGGGTCCCGGCTTTTCTGACCCCGGGATGCCGACCGGGTGGGGGGAAGGGGAGCATGGCCTTCCCCCTCCCCTGCTCTACCGGGGTTGGGGGCTCAGTCTGAGAGCGAGTGGGAGCCGCAGTCATACACTCTGTGGGCCCCATCTGCGTTGTAAGGCCCATTGTGCCAGTAGGAAGAGTCACAGACTGTCTGTAGGGAATTAATTTCGGACGCCGAGGAGTTGGCGTCTCTTCTCTTAGACCGCTTTCGATTCCTCAGGATAAACACGAGCATGCCCACCACAGTGAAGGCGGAGGTGACGAACACCAGCAGCAGTCCTGGGACCAACACCGAGATGGACACCCTGCTGGTGTCTAGGTAGGAGTTGGAATGCGTCCCGGTCTCCGCCAACCCAGTGCTGTTTTTACTTTGTGAAGTTAACGTGGGCGAGATCCTCGCGTACAGCTGGGGGCAGATCTCGTCATTCGAGAGGAGCATGAAATCCTTCCTAAAGAAGTTCACCGGCGTCTCACACTTGAGGTCGCTCATCAGCACTTCGGAACCCAGGCGTTCTGCCCATTGCTTGAAAGGCACAATGGTGCAGGAGCACTCCCAAGGGTTTCCATGCAGGTCTATCTGGATAATGGAAGTTAACTGGTCCAGCACCCCTGCCACCGGGAGGTACATAAAGTAGTTGTTGTGCAGGCTGAGCTTAGAGAGCGAGACCCCAGCAAACACGTCCACGGGGAGGGACCGCAGCAAGTTGTTGTTGAGAATTAGGATCCTCAGTTTAGGCATGGCATTGAAGGTACCTGGAAGGATGAGCTGGATAGCGTTGTACTCCACGTTCAGGTACTCGAGGTTTTGCAGCCCCGCGAATTTCTCCCGGGACAGTGTGTCCAGGTAGTTGCTATCCATATACAGCCACCTGAGGTCCACAAGGTTCTTAAAAGTATTGTTCTCTACAGTGGCGATGTTATTGTTGCCCAGATCCAACAGAATGAGGTTCTTGTAATCCACAAAGTGCGACTTTCGGATGCTATGGACCTTGTTATCTCGCAGGAAAAGCTCCTGCACGTTGGAGAGCTTGGGCTTCAAATCAGCCAAGCTGCTCACGTTCCGGTTGTTGCAGTTCATCTTTAAACCCGACCCTGGGATGTGGTCGCAGCTGCAGCCCCCAGGGCAAGGCAAGCCATTGGCTGGGGGTTTGTTTCTGGCGCTGCCGGTCGCTATCGCTGCAGTGGGTCTGATTTTGATCTGCCAGTTGCCTGGGATCTTTGTACCTCCGTTTGGAGCAGACCCCGGGGTGGCACGATCTTCTTGCCCATTCGTCTTGAAGGGAGTTGGCAGGGGGCCAGGAGCAAAGGTCTCTTCTTGGGCAGGGGGCGCCGGAAGACTAGAATCCACTCTGTTTTTCAAAGGACACAAGTCCTGTTCTGTGGTTTCATTGAGGTCTTTACCCTGCAGTCTGGTGGGGGCTTCGCAGACCACTCGACCGATCAGGGCATTTTTGGGAATGTTTTCCAGCCATTCTTTCAGGGAAAGCAGATCACAGGTGCAGTCCCACGGGTTATCCTCTAGCAGGATTTCGGCAATGCCAGGGATTTGCTCCAAGACCTCCTCATAGGGCAGCGTTTTCAGCCTGTTTCCTCGGAGGTCGAGGTGGGTGATGGGCACATACTGGAACACGTTGGCAGGTAGGGTGCTGATGAGATTGTCATTTAAAATGAGTACCTCCAGCTTGTTTAAGTCTTGGAAGGCCCCCGGGTCTATATCCCGTAATAAATTAAAATCAGCCTGGAGGTATTCCAGGTCGTCCAGCCCCAGAAAAGTCTGCTTTCGAAAAGATTTGATCTTGTTGTTGTTGATATGCAGCCTCTTCACCAGCTGCAGCCCCAGGAAAGCCCCGGGAACGATTTCGTGCAAGCCGTTGTTTTCCATGTGCAAACTAACCGCATTATAAAAGTTAGCAAACTCATTAGGGAAAAGTCGAGTGAGGGAATTGCCATGCAGAAATAGATGGTAGAACTGTGAAGTCGGCGCGGTGAAACGCTGCAGACTTGTGAAGCCCTTTTTTTCACAGTCTACGTGTAGGTCCCCTTCTATTTCATTGCAGGAACAGATCTTCTCTTTGCAAACGTCCCCTGTAACGTTTCCAGCGGCAAAACAAAGAGACGTCTCCAGCAACAGAATCCAAAGCAGCATTTTTAAAGCGAGCAATTCATCCCGATCTCATCACAAAGTAACAGCGACCATCCTGCTCGCCACAGACACAATTCAAGTTCATTTAGTGTTCCAATGTCCGAACCCAGGGAAGGAGAAGAAAGGGTTTGGGGGGGTGGGGGTGGATTCCTTCCTCCCTAACCCCCCCGCACTGCAACAACCCAGGCGCCAGTCAATAATTATATTCACAAACTATCCAGGCACGTAGTGCAAGGCAAGCAAAAAAAAAAAAAAAGTAGAAAAATAACCCCACTCCCCCTCAACCTTAAAAAATGAAGTTAAATATATACGTATAAATTAAAAATGCACACTTAACAGAATCTCGTCTAGTGGTCCTCACTAATCAGTAAGGGAACAATGCTAATAATTAGAAGCAAGTGCATGTTAGAGAAACAAGCAGAGGGTTTGCAGCGTAGTACAGGCGCACTGCCTGTGCATGGCTGTGTGTCGGACTGACCTTGCCTTTCTGATACAAAAAGCAGGGCTTTCGGCGGCTTCTGTTGTTGAGGCTGCTGGCGGAGTTCTTGCTGTAGCTGTAGGTTGCCCAGGAGTCCCCCCGAGGTGCTGTCCAATCCTCCCGGTGCTGAAATCACGCCCGACCGATGGACTCACACTGCCGAGCCAATGGCGCTGGGAAATTTCCGCAATTGCTGCGTTTTGTGCCTGTCCATTCTTTTCGTTTTCTTCCCTTAGGTTCTCTCCAGCCTTTTTTTTCTTTTCCCTGGGCTCTGAATCTCGGTTACTGGCTCGTTTCTTGTTCTCTTTCTTCTGCTGTTTCGGAATCTCCTGGAGGGGGCGGAGGGCGGGTGGGGGGCGAGTTGTTGGAGGGAGAGAGAGAGCGCGAGAATGGGGAGCGGGGAAAGAAGAGAGTTGCTAAGAAGCTCTGCTCGTTCCAGCCTGGTGCACTCTGAAAGATCTGACACCCTCTGCTGATCTGCAGTAGCAAAAATCCATCTGGTGAGGGAATGCTGAAGGAAAAAAAAAATCAATCCACGTACAGGGCAAGCGTTAAAAATGTGGGCACTAAAGGCTGTTGATCCACATAGAGGCTTTTATTGTAAATGGATTATTTAATTCTTTTTTGCATGCTGGAAACTTTACCCTTTCCTTTCCTTAATGACCTCACAGCACCCACTAGCTCCAACGTTTGGGAAAAGAGTGCTTTTAAAACATTTATTTCCCAAAGGCTTGAATAAAATTAGTGTCAGGGTGTCAAGCGAACAGCAATTTGAGGTAATTATACTGCACGCCATTTTCATCGGTGCTTTAAATGCATTTCTTCCGTCTCTGCGGTACAGTGTGTTTTATGCTATTTGATGTCTTTGAAACCATTTTTAAAGAAATTTGGTATGGCGAAAGTGGCTATCTGAAACATGTATTCATACCATATGTATTTTATATAATAGAATAATTGGGGATGGATTTTTTGTTGCATAGTATATAATTTAAACACACTCTTTTCTTTTCAAAACTTGGAGTAGAATTTTAGTCAATTAGGTCACTGAGAGCTAGGTTTCTCTGATTTTTCTTGAATGTTATTTAAGTCTGCAGGGTGAAAACACGGTGCAAGCTAACGTCTTTGATTCCAGACTGAAGGTTTTACTGAGAACCAGCAGGGGGGGGGGAGGGAGGGGGCAGGGGAAAATCCCAATTTGATTCGTGAGTGCTCTTAAAAATCCACTGGCAGGCAACACGCATACCACACACACACACACACACACACACACACTCACTCACTCACTGGCAAAGTTCCGCAGCAGTTCCAACGAATTTGAAATGCGTGCAATTAAATAACCAGTTGCATTTTGAGAGGAGGAGATAGCAATCTCGGGTCTCTAAGGCTTGGAATGGGGGTGGGTGGCGTTGTTTGCTAGTCGCCCGCAGTTGCTCCCCGTGCTTACAAGCTGGCTGGGTCACTGGAGCGGAGGGGAACAGTGCTCAGGCTTTTCCAAGGGAAGGAAGGGATCCTGGGATTCCTCAAACTCAGCAGAAGCTCCTGAAAACCAACTTCTGCAAACCTCTGAGAGAGGAGAGAACAAGAAAACGCTGCCTCTACGGAGGCTGTTTAGCTGACTTTCCTTATCAGAGTCGGCACCTTCTCCCTCACTACTTCTAAAATTGTGTGCCTCATTTTAGGGTGTGGGATTAAAATAATTTTTTTAAATTGTTGTTTGGTCCTTTCTTCAGTTGAAACAAAGATCATGTTTACATCAGTTTTCCCTTTCATTAGGATTTACACAAGTTAGACAGCTGTTACAAGCCTGCTAATCTGCTTAAAAGATCAAACATTCAAGGCTCTGTGCATTTTGAAAATGCTGAAGAGTGAAAGATTTGGGGAAAGGCCTGGGGTGGAGAAATTCAGGAAGATATAGAGTAGATTTTTTTCTTGGTTCAGAAGCTAATTTGAGGGTCACAGTTTTTATATGTATATGTAATATTTTAATGTAATCAAAAGTTTTGATGTCATCTTTTGAAATCCAGTGGAGGTGTGGTTGAAGGCTCAGGTTGACATGGTGTGTGTGTGTGTGTGTGTGTGTGTGTGTGTGTGTGTGTGTGAGAGAGAGAGAGAGAGAGAGAGAGGCATTTTTCAGGCAACCCATTACATTGTTAAAACAATTTCATTCTTATTTAATTTAACCCTTTACTACATGTTCAAAGAAGATAAGAGCATAATAAATTTGAAACTATTTCACTAAAAAAAATGCTATGCACTTGAGAACTGCAGATGTGAAGAAAGACTTGGACTGAAGGAAAAGATATTTCTGTTTCTTTGTAATTGGACTCAGGTTTTGAAAATCCTTGGCCCCAGAAACCCAGCTGAGAGAGGAGGGTGCTTTATGCTGTGTCTGTGATGGATAGGAGGAAGGACTTTGAAGGAGAGAGAAAAAATGCTGGCTGTTTAGGAAGAAAAGTGTTGATGATAATCACCTAAAATCACACTTTTAAAATTAACTGGTTACTTGCTTATTCAACTTGCTAAGTAAACACCTTATATGGAGAGACCCAAGGAACACATTTAAGTATATACCATTAAGAACTTATTTCACTTTTTATTTTATCCCCTATAAGATCTTACATATAATCATTTATGAAAAAATCTGTTTTTGTTCCCAACAAAGTATATAGCAGATATTTAAGATGAAGAAATACATATTATTTATATAGGTTTTGAAAAACACTGAAAACAACTGCAAAATTAAAATCCACCAAATTTCAACACCCAGAAATTGTGGGTGGAAACATACACATATAGTTCATAAAATGCCTTTTGTACTTTATATATGTATTTGTGGAAAATGTCAAAGTTATTAAACATCCACTACTATATTGTATTAGAAGTTGAATTATTTTATATGACATAAAAGAATTCATGGAAATAATTCCACAGAGTTGGACATTTAGTTTTCACTAAAATGTTTGCTCTTGTATATAATGCTGCAAAGAACAACCTTGTACATAAATCACTGTGAATGTTATTATTTATCTTCTTATTGCAGATGCCTAGAAGTAGAATTGCTAGGTTAAAGTATAGAAAAAATATTAAGACTTTTGATAAAAGTTTGATGAATTACTTACTCAAAGATGTGTTCAATTTATACCCCACAAGCAATAGATGAGATTTGTCATTTCCCTAACTCCCTGCCAACACTATTTATTATCATTTAAACACCTTCCACTCAATTCAGTATGTTCAAGTGAAGCCAATGCTTACCCATTTACTTGAGCAAATTATTCTTAATTTCTAATTATTTATGGATTACATTGTTTGCCTTATTCAATCTGTGCAACTTTTAAAATATTATTCTAGCTTAAAAGTCACTTCTTTGAATCCTTTCCAGACCAAACCACCAAGGCTCTTTCTCCCTTTCACCTTAATGCATTCAGTAGAATGACTCCTAAATGTGTTTCAATTATGTTTTTGAAGCATTGATTCCTCACTAGAGTGTGACATTCTTGAGGGCAGTGGTCTAATCATTTCGTCTTTTTATATCTGTCACCTAGCAGAGTCCTGGTCCTATGTAATATGGTCTGACATGTACACCCCAAGAGTAAAATAATGCAGTATGGAGTTAGTAAGAAATTGAGTGGAACAGAACACAAAAGTTTTTTAAAAAAGTCCAGAGACAGAGTTAATTCACAAACTAGGGACTTGGTAATTACTTACTTGGACGTTTAGGTTCCATGTTCAATGTGTTGCATGCACTTGATAAATTTTCTCCTGTATCATCATGCATATATATAAAATAGGATCTATTTTCTCTACAAAATGAGTTCCTAATCTACATTTTGTGCATCCCATAAGAGTTAGGACAGTACCATGCACCTGGTCAACAACCAGTAAATGTGTGATGTTGCTAAGGATAGGAACACATTGCTGCTTTTGCAAGAGGAAGTAGGTTGAAAATCATGAAAGTGTAAAAATCCAGTAAGTTAACTCTTTAGGTTATTGATGGAAATTTTTAAATGTATAAAAAGTGCATAGCACAAGCATACTTTGAATTGCCCAAAGAAATTAATTAAATGTTATTTATTAAAGCAGAAAACATGTTATTTTCTAATCAGTTGGAATTGGCAATTCTTGCATTTACGGTAACTATTAGGCTGGGAAAGGCATTACCTCACATGAGCAGTTGCCTAAAACAGTGAAGTTATCAGCATTAGGATATCCCACTTTGTAGTACACTGTGCTTTTGGAGAAATCTTATGCCATTCCTAATACCGGTCAATTTCCCTCCTTCTATTTCTTTTTTGGAAATAAATCAGAAATACTATCATAAAATATAAAAACAATAGACACTGATTTTTCCCAAATCTCTTAGTGACTAGGGCAAATGGTATGACGTAGCATGACCACTTAGAGTCACATGATTGGATTTTGACATTAAGCCTAAGGACATGTGGGAAAAGGAATGGGCCAATTACACCAGGCAGTGGTAGCAGTGGCAGGAGAGAGGGGTATGGAGTGCAACGGTGTCAGGGGACTTCTGGGCAGGGCCCAGGGCTGAAGTAAAGGCTGTTGTAAACTGT